CCTTCGCTGCGAGGGGTGCGGGCCAGGGTGGAGGTGAGGGGGGCGGGGGGGGGACAGTGTGCTAGAGACAACACTCTACGGGGTCTCCCGCAGCGCCGGGAGGGGCAGCACCCGCCTCTCTGGGCTTTGCTAGGACACTAGGGACCCAGGCACAAGGGTGTTCTCAGCCCCCGTCTCCTGTCTAATGAGCGACAGTGTGAGTCTAACCACTCACCCTCACATGCCTCCACACGGACACGCTCTCACACACATGTGAATGCTTGCACACCCACACCCGTGCACACACGCACTAGCACACACCACACACGGACAGCCGTACTCTCACCTGTATACAGCCACACACCCAGCCCCTCAGCAAACCTCCCTGCCCCAGCTCTTCAGGGCCACAGCTCTCTGTCCCACACGCACCTGTGGCTGCATCCTCGCACCGACCTGAGGCCCAGGAAGCGCGGGTCACTGTGTCCCTCTAACACAGGCAGGCGAGGAAGCCGGGTTCACTGGTGTCTTTCAAGAACCTGGTGAGGGACCTGCAGGGTTTGGAAGGATGAATGGGGCTTGAGGCAGGATCTGAACCTGTGGGGCTGCCAGGAGTGGAAGTGGGGTACGGGATGGGGGTGGGGGCTGCTCTCTTTCTCTTCCGCAGGCCTGGTGGCTGCTCTGAAGTAAAGTCCGGGTGGAGAGTGGCCTTGGCAGACCTGGTATGAATGTGGACTCAGCTCACACAAGCTGTGTGTCCTGGGCAAGTTGCTTCACCTCCCTGAGCCTTGGTGTTTTCATCTGTTAACTGGGAGCAAAAATCCCGCCTCACAGGATTGCTGTAAGGATTAATATGCTTTAAAAAGATTGGCACAGCCCTAGCCGATTTGGCTCAGTGGACAGAGCATCAGCCTGTGGACTGAAGCGTCAGGGTTCGATTCCGGTCAAGGGCACATGCCCAGGCTGCAGGCTCGATCCCCGGTAGGGGGCGTGCAGGAGGCAGCTGATCAATGATTCTCTGTCATCATTGAGGTTTCTCTCTCTCTCCCTCTTCTTTCCTCTCTGAAATCAATTTAAAAAATATAAAATGATTGGCACATACTATGTACATAACTTAGGGCTAAAAATAAACAAAAGTGATTGAACAAGGTGTGACGATTTATTACCTCACCAAGCTTCCCTACACCCACGGGAAACCTGAAGAAACTCCACTTACTGGATGTGTATGAAGCACCTACTGTGTGCCCGTATGAGCAGGACAGATGTGCCAGTCCTGGAGTCACTACTGTATTGAGCTGGGTGCTCAGGTACCCTCATGCTCCACCCCCATCAGAGCAGCCCTGCCTCCTGAGTCTGGCTGGGGGAGGGTAGCTCTGAGGGGACTGATCCCCATGGGTGCCCAGTGCCTTGCAGGGCCGGCTGTGTGCCTGCCTGCTGTGGAGAAGGAAAGACGGGTCTGCCTGTGGCCAGGCTCTGGTCCTGCTACGAACCCCGGGGCTGGGAGGCAGAGGGCCTTTCTCTTCTTCCTTCGGTGGAGGGACTCCATCTGGCTCGGACGGAGGGCTCTGACTCACCGTGACGCAGGATGCTGCTCACAGCTGCCGATGCTCCCAGCTGGCAGCCTGGCAGCTCTGGGGGCAGAGGGGGCAGGGAGGTGGACCCCTGCAGAGAGGATGGGACAGGTCACAGGGGAGAGAGAGGATGCTGGGGAGCTCACGGTGTCCCCCTTCAGCCTAAGGCAGGGACAGGTGGATGAGGCTGGGCAGTGGCCCCACCCAGAGCCACTTGGTCACCCATTCAGAGGTGTCCCTGGGGTGGGGTGAGGGGTTCTGGCAATCCCAGCCTCTGGCATTCGTGCTGGTCATTTCCACACGGACTCAGTTCTCTCATTGTCCAGACTGGCGCTCAGAGAGGGACAGGGGCTTGCCTGAGGGCACACAGCAAGTGGAGACTGAGCCCACGTCTCCCTGCCTGGCAGCTCAGCCCTGGCACTGGCCTGAGACTGGGCCATGCAAGGGTGGGCAGCTCCTCCTTGGATGCCCACAGTCACCTTCCCAGTCCTTGGAATTCTGCTGAAGCAGACGATTCCCAGATTCCCAGACAGCTCAAGATGTGTGGTTGTCCTTCCCCCGGGCAGGCTGTCCTTCCCCAGCTCAGCCCATGGCCGATCTGCCCTGACCTTCAACCACCCTCCCAGCATGCTCCTGGCCCCACCCACCCATGGGGGACAGGAGAGACAGGCCGTCTGGTGGGTGAAGGGGTCAGAGGAGAGAGCGCCCAGGTTGTGCCCTTCACACCCTGAATCCCATTCTCCTGTCATGATTTTGGGTATCCAGGCAGAGCCCCCAGTCCTCTGGTCTGCCCCACTCTCCTACCCAGTGGCAGACACTCACCCTGAGTGCCCAGCCCCGAGCGGGGCACTGGAGCATGCAAAGCAGATGTTCAGTGTCTGATCGGAGAAAGATTAATCAACAGAGCCGTTCCAGTGAATCAGACTCAGTCCTGCCCGGGCAGTCCTGGGAGGGGGGAGCCCCGGCGTCAGTAACTCGGGTCGTGGCTGACAGTGAGCCTCCCAGGCCAGCCACGTGCAGTGAGAGGAGACTTGCTTCTGCTTCAAGACAATGGTGCCCCTGCAGTGGCATTTTGAAGGTGGAGTGGGATGTGCAGGCAGAGATGGTGGAGGGCTCCTCGTATACAGAGGTCAGAAGGCAGGGAGGTGGAGGGCACCAGGGGACTGGCATATATGACGTCTGGGGGACCAGTGGGAGGGGACAAGACTTCAGGCTGGGATTGCCACCTCCAGGCCTCTAGCATCTCCCCGGCACTGGCGTTCCCAGGAGCTGGGTATGCAGAAGAACAGGGTGGAAGCCAGACAGAACTGGGTTTGACTCAATGTGTAGTAGGCGCTCAATGAATATTTGTTGACTGAATGGAAGAAAGTGAGACTTGTCCAGGGTCACACATCTAGATAGTGGTTATAGCCAGGACTAACGGATTCAAGCTTCCATTCATCCAGCTAATGCTAATACCTACTGTATGCCTGGCACTGTGAGACAGACAAGGTCCCTGGGGGAGGAAGGCATTACTGCAGCAATGGCCCAGGTAAACGGAGCATCACAGCCCTGACAAGCACGGGGAAAGCACTGGAGAGTGTGGGGGAGAAGGCCTTGATCTGGTCTTGGGCGTGGAGGAAGCGAGCATCCAGGGGAAGTGACATTGAGAGTCCACAGCTGACAGATGAGTGGGACTTGGCACAGCTGGGGTCTGGAGTGGGAGGAAGGGCTTAATTCCCAGGAGGAAGAGAGGGCCACGGTGGCCAGAGCACAGAGGCCGAGAGGAAGGAGGTGGCAGGAGCCAGCTCCCCCGGGGCCTCCCACTGGATCTGGCCTCTGTCTGAAGAGCGATGGAAGCCCCATCCCCTGTTTGCTCATCTGCAAACCAAGCTTCTTTCCAGTCACTCCCCGCTGGGGCTAAGGCCCGGATGAGGCTCCCAGTCCAGTTTCCTGTTTCTCTGGGGGCCCAGCCTGCCTTGGGGTCCCGAGGCCCAGGGCTTGGGGCCTTTCCAGGAAGCCCGAGAAAGAAGGCCACGGACTGACCTTAGAATGTGCTCACTCTTAGCTCCAGGCTCGAGACTGTGGGCTTCCAGCTGAGGTCTCTCATAAGCAACCAGCTGGACTAGGTGGGGAAGGGAGAGACAGAGGGGCAAGCCCCAGTCTGATGGAGGAGACACAACCATTGTGCTACACACAGGCCTTCCCTGGGGAAGCTTCCAGCCTGGTGAGTAAGCAGGTGCATTGAGTTAGTCTCTAAAAGGCCTGGCCAAAGAAACATAAAAAAATGCTCAAAGTCCCTGATCATCAGAAAGATGTAAATTAAAACGACAGCAAGGTATCACCTCACACCTGTCAGAATGGCTACCATCAATAAATGACAAATGACAAATGACAAATGCTGGCAAGGATGTGGAGAAAAAGGGAACCCTAGTGCACTGCTGGTGGAATGCAGACTGGTGCAGCCACTATGGAAAAGAGTATGGCGTTTCCTCAGAAAATGAAATATGGAGCTGCCATTTGACCCAGTGATCTCACTTTTAGGAATATACCCTAAGAAACCCAAAGCACCAATCAGAAAGAATGCATGCAGCCCTATCTTCATAGCAGCACAATTTACAATAACTAAGATCTGGAAACAGCCCAAGTGCCCATCAGTAGATGAGTGGATAAAGGAGCTGCG